GTTCATCCCACCCAGCATGTTCTATTGTTGGAAACCTTTTGGGGAAACTAGAGCAGTGGTTGACTGACCGGTCGCCACGGTAGGACCACCGGTTGGCTGCGACTGCTGAACTAGAGTATCTACATGTAGCAACAAAACAGCTCTTTTTTTTTTTTTTTAACTCTTTCGTCTCTTTAGAACACTGCTACCAGAAATTATTTAATGTATATAAATAAATGCTTATTTACATGTTTATTATGTCTTTTGTATTAGAATGCAAGTTTAAGTTTTATAAGGAAAGAGACTTTGTTTTATGTCTGTCTTGTGATTTAATGAATGAACAAATGAACGAACAAACAAATATTTATTGGTTATCATTAAGATGCCAGGAACATGCGTCCCATGACTTTGGCATTTGTAGGTCAATGACATGTCTATTTTTTTGTTTGCATTTGATCATGTATGAATGTAAATAAACCCTTCTTGAATACAGACTACACATTATTGTCAAATGATTGCCCAATGACTTTATAGTGTCTATATGAGTGGAGTGAGGTTGCCTTTTTGTGTGTGTGTGGATTTAGGCAGTGTGAGATTTAGTGTGAACTTAATCCTCAGGCTTTTTGATCAGGTAGACCCATTAGAAAAGAGAATTTCACAATGGGAGAAAAAGGAGACATATGTAATACTTTCAACAATAAAGATTTTAAAAAAGGAAAAAAGAAAGAAAGAAAAAGAAAAGAGAATCTCAGAGCAAAGTGACTTGGCAGCTTGGTGAGACAACAGGACCCAGGGCTAACTTATCCATTAGGTGTAATAGGCACAGTACTCAGGGATCCACAAAAAATGTCTGAATTTTTAAAAATATATTTTTATTGATTTCAGAGAGGAAGGGAAAGGGAGAGACAAGGAGAGAGAGATAGAAACATCAATGATAGAGAATTGTTGACCGGCTACCTCCTGCATGCCCCCTATTGGGGATCAAGCCCACATTTTCGGACATGTGCCCTGATCGGGAATCGAACCCGGGTTCATAGGTCGACGTTCAACCACTGGGCAAGATGTTATTCTTTTTGATGGCTTGAGTAATATTCCATTGTATACATGTACCACAATTTCTTCATTCATTCATCTGTTGATGGACACTTAGGTAGCTTCCGTACCTTGGCTATCCTATATAATAAAAGCCTAATATGCAAATTGTCCCCTCGACTGAAGTTTGGCTGGGAGTTTGACTGCTCGACCAGTTGCTATGATGTGCACTGACCACCAGGGGGCAGATGCTCCAGCCAGTAGGTTAGCTTGCTGTGGGTGCTGGTGAGCTGGACCGGAAAGTGAGATGTGAGGTGAGAGCCCTCAGGAAGCTCCCAGGGTTTGACCGGAGCCCCGGGTGGAGGCGGGAGCCAGGAGGGACCAGGTGGTGGGGAGGCTGCTATGCGTGATCCGAGAGCCTGGACTACACAGATCTCTGCAGCCTGTGGCGTTCTCAATGCACAACTTACAATCTTCAGAGCTGCTTCATTTTATTTGTTAAGTTTCACTAACTACTCCAGGAGAGTGGGTAGCACCATTATGGGGGATGGGGGGGACGGTCCAGGCGCACCTGCCAGAGGCCAAGGGGTGGCCCCGGGCTCCTGGGGACGCAGCAGAGAGGGGGGCAGGGCTGAGTCGGAGAAACTGAGTCTAAACCAGCCGTGGGCAAACTACGGCCCGTTTGAAATGAATAAAACTAAAAAAAAAAAAAAAGACCGTACCCTTTTATGTAATGATGTTTACTTTGAATTTATATTAGTTCACACAAACACTCCATCCATGCTTTTGTTCCGGCCCTCCGGTCCAGTTTAAGAACCCATTGTGGCCCTCAAGTCAAAAAGTTTGCCCACCCCTGGAAACCTTGAAAGGAAGTAGGAGGCAGTGAGTGGCAGAGGGTGACAGCTGCTCAGGGGCCTAGAAAAGCTGCTGGTGGGGGCAGTCGAGGAGCCCGGTACCTCTCCCACGGGACAGGCTCCACGGCTCCCTCCTCCTCCCTGTGACCCGTCACCCCAGCTGTCCTCCAAGGCCCCGCCTGGGCTCCCCCCACCCTCCTCCACAGCTGCACAGCCCCGCCCTGCCCCACACAGCCCCACCCCGCCTTTGGGGAGCTCCGCCCCCTTAGAAGAAAGGGGGAGGCTGCAGACAGGAGGTTGCAGGAGGAGGGGGCAGAGCAGGGCCTACCAAATTAGATGAAGGGGAGGGAGGGAGAGACCCCACAGGACTGGGGACAGAGATGTGTTGGGGAAGGAGGGCTGTGTGGAAGCATCACCCTTAGTTGAAGTAGAAATTCTGACCCCATTTTACAGACCCCAGCAGAGTGTGTGTTGCGGGGGTGGGGGGCGGTGAAGACAAAAGGAGGGTGTGAGGGGACTGGATGGATGGAGAGTAGCAATGTTTGATTCATGGCCTATTTTTATTTTTGTTAATATATTTTTATTGATTTCAGAGAGGAAGGCAGAGGGAGAGAGAGATAGAAACATCAATGATGAGAGAGAATCGATTTATCTCCCACACACCCCCTACTGGGGATTGAGCCCACAACTCAGGAATGTGCCCTTGACTGAAATCGACCCTTCAGTCTGCAGGCTGTGGCTCTATCCACTGAGCCAAACCATCTAGGGCGACCCATGGCCTATTTAAAACCGCTGCAGTAGGCTGAGCAGGGGTCTTACCACGATGGTATTACCTGATAATGAGGGTGTCTCTCCTCATGTTGGGGTAATCGGAACTGCAGCAAAGTAAAGACACACCCATGGAGCCTGCAAAGGGTTTCCATGCACATGATGCAATTTACTTCGTGTGGCAGCTGAAGAGGGTGGGCAGAGTCTTGGAAGGACATGAGGGCTCCAAAACCAGGGGCTGGAGGGAAAGTGTGCCCCGAGCATTCCTTGCCGTGAGTTACAATCCTCCTATCTAATTAAAGAGAAACATGGTAATTAGCCGTACATCCGCTACCCTTCCCATTGGCTAATCAGGGCGATATGCAAATTAACTGCCAGCCAAGATGGCGGCTGGCAGCCAGGCAGCTTAAAGCGAACAGGAGGCTTGCTTGCTCCAGGGACGGCGGACTCCAACGTTCCCCGCCTGACTTGCCGGCCTCTCTGCTGCAACTCTAAGCAACTATGTTGCAAATATAGAAGCTAAACAAAACCCCAGAAACCTGCTTTAGTCAGCTGGGCTTCAGCCAGCCGGACCGCAACATTGTATCAAATACAGAAGGTAAACAAAGGCCAGAAACCTGCTTTCAGCAGCCGAGGCCTCAGAGCTAAAGCTGGC